AAACAGAGTGAGGCAGCTGCTTGGTGGAGAGAAGTGGTGAGGTGTTGGGAGAATAGATCAGTCCTGGCCCCTACAGGCTTATCTAGGGAGGAATAAATCTGTTGATTTTGATTTTTCTCAAATTCACAATTTTAAGTTCAGTTCTCAATGTGTATCAAAGTGTTATATATGACTTCTCAAAACCACATTCTCCTACAATACACATTTTTTGTAATCTATTTTCACTAATATACAAGTAATTTTTTTTGCAAGTGTTCCCCCCAATATACTGAGTTTTGTAAATTATTTTATGCACACTTTCCCCAGCCATATGCATTTTTGGATACATTGCCTGACTGAATTACTGCATCACAAAATTTAGATAAATGATAATTTCAGAGGGTAGCTGATAGTGTGCATTTTGTTTTGGGAAGTGTGAATCGCGTAGTTTCTCATTAAAATGCCAGCTGAACCAAATGTCTCTCCTCACCCCATCCATCGAGGGTGCTGTCTTGTCATCCATGTTGAAAGAAGATACAATCTCTGGTGTAACCACTTTCTGTACAGTACTGGAAGCACCACCTTGATTCCAGCAGCAAAATGTATTGGACTGGCGCTAGATAGTACTGTATTCAATTTATGGTGGGTCCTTTGTGAAATTCACCAGCCCTGACCACTGACTCCTCCCAGTTTAGCTCAACCTTGCCACTTCTAGCCTTCTGAAAACAATAGCTAAGGGAGATGACACCTGAGGTTAATGGGTCAGAGCCTATCTTCTCGCTCATAATTTGGGTACTGGTTTAGATGGGTGTTGGCTCTGAGAGTGCAAATAGTGCAGAATGCAGTGAGCTCGTATAGTCTGGTGACAGGTACTGACTATGGAGAGAAATTTAATAGTGACATACCCAGGTAAGCAGACTGCTCACCATTCTGAATTCTCCCCGTATCATCAAACGGAATACCTGGCTGCAGAGATTTAACAGATAACTCTTGGAGAATCTCTGATCTGATACTTAAATGCTTCATGAGAATGACAGCAGGCATATTATGCCTGACATTTCCATTTACATCTACTACCTGGGGGGAAGAGAGAAATCAGCCATTTGGCTTTTGTTATGAAGGGGGAAAAATACATATATTACTATTGAATCTTGGGGATTATTTTAGCCTGTAGGGGATCAGATAAAAAAACACTTCTAACATTTGTTGCTTGCCTAAGCAACTGCTAAGAAGATTCAGCAGTGGCATTCCTTTGCTGGCAACTATATAGACACCTTTTTAGTAATTAAGGCAAAGATCACACAACACAAACAGACGCCAAAAATATTACAGAAGAAAAAAGGCATGGAATACTCCTAGATACAGAATTATTTATTGCTTTATATGTGTTCAGTTAATGCTGGAATATGTGGCATGCCTAGTTATCCCTGCATCTACAAGTGTTACATTCTAGGTTTGGAATACTTGTATTACTCATCTCAAGCAGAAGATCTAAAACTTCCACCTGCAGATGACTTGAAAATGACTAGAGTCTCAGCAGACCTCTTCATATATATATTTTCCCTTCAGCAATGGCATTTTCATCAAAAGCAGTTCTGTGTTATGAATATCACAGGCCCTAGGCTAGGCTGCTTAGAAAGTCCCCTTTAGCCAGAACATTCCGAGGGGGAAATTAGTAGGCTGCAGTGATGCCATATTATGAGAAATCGCAGGGCCTGTTTCACCAATCTGGCCCTGTAAAAATGGGCTAGATCTCTCTTGTTAGACAAAATAAATCAGGTGTGCCACCAACTAGACATTCTCAGTTGCTCCATAACCTTTCCACAGCTCACCTGATTGGAGATCACAGCCCGGAGCCTATGCACCTCTATTCCACAGGCACCCAGTGAATCAATCTAGAAAGCCCCATTGCACTGCTGTGGAGGACCACAGTTATTTTGTTGACTACTGTTTTCATGAAGTCTTCATTAGTAAAGAAAAAACAGAAGCTATGATATAGGAATCAAACTAAAAACTGAGATTATATGCCTTACTGAATATGTTGTAGCTATTTCAGTTGATTTCAGGTAGACTATTTTATGCTTCAGCAGCAAACCTTTAACGAGACAACAGCTGGCTTTAAACACTGGAGGATGTTACATGCATGCATGGTATATCAACTATGCCCCAAGAAATCAGAGCCTCCTTAATCCCCCCACCTTTTTTAGTATACTGTAATTATAACTTTTCATCCACATCCGAGTATAATTACATGCCCAATTGGAAGTGTGTTTGTCTAGCAGGCCTGAGACTAGGGTCTCTATAGGAACACCCTTTGCTTGTTCAGACCCAGAAACCTCCCCCCTAAATAAATTCACACATCACTCAAATTTTGGTTTGGGTTTTTGGCAGAATTTAGGCCACAACTTTATTGATTATAGAAAGTGACTGGTTGCATAGGCTCTGGTTCGACTAGCTCCCTGCCATGCAGGTAGCGCTGACCCGGGGCACCAGCATTGGTCAGCCAAGGGTGAACATCTGGATAAACGGAAAGCCGGGAACAGGCTAATTCCACCACCCAAATGTCCCCCTGGACTCAGGCAAGGGCACAACCCCCTCTCAGGGGTTGACCAAATCATCGAGCCCCTGGATTCCTTTAATGGAATACCCTTCACATAGGGATGGCGAGAGGATTCTCCCATCCCTATCACCTGAACCAGAGCCTATCCACAACCTTATAAATTGTGATGATTTGCTATGTGGCAGGCGAAACCCAAATGGCAACAGCCAATCAGCCAAGTGGGGAAAATTCCTGCCGAGCCCCTGTCCCAATGACAGACGACACACGACGGCATAGCAAGGCCAAGCGCAAAGCCCTAAAGGTAGGGAGAGGTGGGCGGGTGTTCCTAATGCACGTGCCAAAAGAGGAAGCTCTTGTTCACTGTTCACGTGCATGGGCATAAATAGGTCCCTCAAACCATTTGCACTGCGTCCCACTGGCCAGATTGCACCCAGCTTTGAGGGACCTACCAATCGGGTGTTGAGGCTGACCAATTGTACCCACCCACAACACAGTGTGTCAGTTTTCCAGGTCTCACCGCAATACGTGCCCTCTTTAAGGGAGGACCCAATTTCCCCTCCCCTAGAAATCTGCCCATTGACCAGGGGCGATGCATCCAATTTTGTTGTGTGAAGCAAAATAGGAAGGTGCCACCCTGCCATCACTGCCCGGCTGCTGAAACCTCTGGCTGCCAAAGCCTCCCCCTTTCCTAGATTGTGTGGCTGCAGCTGCAAAGCTGCAACAGTGAGCTCCAGCACATCTCACAGAGCCTACAAGATCTCATGATATTTTGGTGAGCTTCTGCAAGAATTCAGTGGTAGCCACTATCACCACTGCTTTTCCGCAAGTGGGGTGGTCTACAGGGCCATCACCTCTTTGGGTTCTGCTGGCCAAGGCGGCTGCTTCAGCCTGCCTCATGGTCAGCCTGGCTCTGCCATTGATTGAAATGCTGCCCCGTTCTCAGAAGTTAAACAGGTGGCCATTTTGTTTGTGGCACCCTGGCTTTGGGACACTCTCCTCACAAGAAGGCTCACCTACCACCTACCACCTGCTCTGCTCTTTTATCTGCTAGGGCAGCGGTGGACAATGCGTGACCCTCCAGGTATTGTTGGACTCCAACTCCCATGAGCCCGAGGCAGCATGGCCAGTGGCTGGGGATGATGGGAGACTCAGTCCAACAGCATATGGTGAGCCCCAGGCTCCTTATGCCTTTGCCGGGTGGATATTCCCTAGTCGAAGAGAGTCTTAGCAATATTCATTGGCATTTTATGGTTTTATGGTTGATTTATCATTTTATATGTTTAATGTGAGCTACCTTGGACAATTAATCAGAAAGACAGGATGTAAATGTGTTCGTTAAATAAAATATATAAAACCTCTGCTGGTTTCAGTGTGGGATATTGGGTGTTGTAAATGTGTATGAGGGGGAGAGAGGGAGGAGTGCCATGCTTGAAGTTTTTCTTGAGAATTTAGCAGGATTATTCTCTCTTCCAAGGTGCCTTTATTTTGCGACTTTTAATATTCCAGTATTATTATCTACACATGTTCTATCTTTATGCAGTACATTAGAATCAAGATGTTGGGTGATGGGGCGAAGGATTTTAGATATTTTAAGGAGAAAAGCAATACAAGCACAATCATATCCAGGCATTTGTGGTCAAGACACTGCTTCTTGCAGTCAGCAGCCAAACTAAACGTGACATTAGTTACAGGAATTAATGTGCATGTTTTCCCCAATGTAAATAGCTAATATGGGGGTGAAGAGCAGGAGTTTTACTGTGGCAGATAGGACAACTTTACCCTTTCCTCTCAACTCTCTGATCCCAATGAAAATTGTGCTCACTCTCCAGCCCAAGAGCTGCTATTTGCCCTGGAACCAAATATTCTGTTGGCTATCTTTTAGAAAACCAGTGAAGAGCTTGAGTGCTATAGTTGAAAACTGCATGCAAAAGCTCACACAAAATGCTATTTTCTTGGTGTGAGGGTCCTGATTATCATATTCCCAATTCAGCCCTTGTCGAACTTTTTTGACCAGGGGGATGAAAACCTGCTATATAGTGAGGCTATGGTGACCTAGGTTCAAATCTCAATTCACCCATGAAGCTTGCAGAGCACATCGGGACAGCTATTCTTTCACATGCTAGCCTACCTCACAGGGCTGTTGTGAGAACAAAAATGGGAGGAGAGAGTGGAAGCATGATTATGAAGCTAATAAATAAATGCTGACTGGGGATTTTTTTTGGGGGGGGAGGGGTACTACTTCTGAAAGATTTTTGCCTTATTTAGAACTCTTCCTGGCGGGGCTTCTGTGTCAGGGGAACAGAAAGCAAACCATTCATCCAAGAAAGCTTTCCTGATGCCTGCCTGCTGAAAGCTTTACCTGCTCCATCTCTGCCTGTGATGCTGCGCTACGCAGGCTTGACAGGAGCGCTAGCCCTTATTCCACCACCTTGCAACCCCGTAAACATAACGGGTGATTTTTCACGCCGTACTACACACTGAATGAGCGTTGGCATTTCGCTCCTGGGTAACGCGTCTCTCCGGGCGAAAATGGGCAACTCCGGATGCTGATCAAGAGAGCCAAGGAGATCCTGCCAGAGGGGAATCTCCCGAGCTGGTGGGCGGGAGGCGGGGAGGCAGGAGAGCGTCGGACCACTAGAGGCAGGCAACAGATAGTTTTCCTCGACGGGGAGGGGCATGGAAACCCCCCAGGATCCCTTCAGCCCAGACTGCTCTCGGAAGCGAAAGGCGTCTCTCCTGCCAGGCGTGCTTGGAGCGAGACTGCGAGAGGAAAGGGAGTCCCGGCCAGAAGGCGAAGAGCGGCAGCGCCGGGTGGGCAGCGCGGGAGAGTCAGCAGCAGCTCCAAGAGGCCAGCGCGCCGTCGCCGCAGTCGCGGCTGCCGTCTAGGGCGCAGGCTGCACTCCCGGGCGCTTGGCTGGCGCTTGGCATGGACTGGGAGCGCCGCGCTGGACTCGGCTGGCCACGGAGGGCTCCGGAGAGACGCCGCGCTTGGGCTGAGGTTCTCACCTCCCTGTTGCCTCTTTCCATGGGATTAAAACCAAGGTGGTGAAGCAGCCGCCGGCCGAGTGGATCGGACCTCTCACCTGCCTCCACACCACCATCACCCCCCCCCCCAAAAAAGCCCGTCTTCTCTTTCGACCGAGCCATGTGGGACCTCGCTCTAGAGGTGGGGATACGGGTCCTGCTCTTCGGCGTCTTCATGTAAGTAGCCCAGGAAGTTTCCTCTAGACGGCGGCTCGGCTCGCCAGTGCGCACCAACCGAGTATTATTATTATTATTATTATTATTATTATTATTATTATTTAAAAAAGCTCCATTGCCAGAGCCGGGGAGAGTTAGAGGGGAGGGGATGGACTAGATGGCCTTTGGGTGCAGCCAACCCGGGAGGACTGTGGCAACGGGAGGGAGAGGCTCCAGCTGCTCGCCCTACCTGTCAAGGTGATCAGGGAGGACCTGCGGTACTGAAAGCTTCCCAAAATGAACTTGCCTCCCCTTAAAGCCTTACTCTAACCAAAGGGTACCCTCTTTTTTTAACTTAAAAGTCTTTCTCTATACACCTCCCCCGCCCAATATGCGAAGTCTGCTTGTGGTCACATGGTAGGAAAAGAAATGCACTCTGCACGCGCTCAGACACCTTTCTCAGAGGTGTCTCTGCGTGCTCCAGAGTTAAGTCCTGTCACTGGAAACAGGCAGCCCTGGCACAAACGAATCCTGCCGCACAGAACGTGTTTTTCACTCCGAAAGCTGCCTGAGGGGAGGGGTGTTAAAATGCTCCCAACAGTAAAACATTGACACAGCCGGCCATTGGTTGGTGCAGTTTGTTCCACAGGGGGAAAAGAAATAAAATATTTTCTTCTTCTCCTCATGAAAATTAATAATTCTGAAGAATTTGTAAAACAGCACCATCTAGATAATGGAACATGATTGCAACGTGTGGCTGCAAAGTGTCCCTCTGTATAAGTTCTGTTCGTTATCTGCTGGGAATGGTTTAGAAGGGGAGGAGGGGATCAACACCAGGAGAAATCCCGTTTTTGTTCCTCAATATTTGTGCCTTTCTCTGCTTGGCTTACAGTGCAATCCGGTGCATGTCCTCCCAAAAGTAAGCCCCATGACCAGCACTGTATTTGTTCTATGGCTTGTTTAAATTTTGTTCCGTTAAAAATAAATAAATCATTGTTAATGGCTCACTTTAGTATCCTATCCATACTTTCAATTCTTCCTCAACCTGCTTCAACTTTTCTGTTCCTTCTCTTCTCCTCATTATAACTTTCGGTTGCGACCCTATGCCCACTTACAAGGGAGTAAGCTCTACTGAACCCAGTGGCACTAACTTCCGAGTTAACATAGGAAGCTGGCTTATACTGAGTCAGACCATTGGTCCATCTAGCTCAGTACTGCCTTCACTGACTGGCAGTAGCTCTCCAGGGTTTTTACCAGCCCTCCCTGGAGATGCCCACGATTAGACATAGGACCTTCTGCATGCTCTAACCCTAAGCTGCAGCCCTTTCCCAACATACTGTAAGGTGGCAGCCCTATGGCTGCTTACTCCAGAATATGTCCCATTGACGTCAGTGAGACTTACTTTTTGAGTAGTCATGCATAGGCTTGTAGTGTAAAAAAAATGTACAGAAAGTGATAAATAGCACCAAGGTTGCTAGCAGAGTTGTTTATTTCAATTCCTCACTCCACCAAGGATAGAAAAACATGCTTCCTTTGACCAGTTGAACAACATCAAGGAATCTTGACCTGAGAGCCCAGGTGCTGCAGTGAGGCTTGGTTTATATCCTCTCTTCTCTCCTCCTTGCCTGTGCCAGGAGTCTGCTGAATAGGTTCCTCCTGCCTTTTGCTGGAAGCTGACAAGAGGGAGAAAGATGACTGTGATTTGGGAAATGGGGGTGGGGGGACAGAAGAAAACAGGTATTTGTCCTGCTACCTCCACAGCCTCCCTGCACCACTGCTGCTTCTTAATTGGCTGGGACTCTTATGTTAGTGTTGCATGTTTGATAATTGCAAAGGATCTTGGACACTTGCGCTGAGTAATTTCCACCAAGTGTTTGGCTTTTGTAGTGCATGCTGTAGCTTGGAAGTAGTAGAAAACAGCTGCTGATTCTCATCATCTTCTTCTTTTAAAAAAGAAAGTGAATCAGCTGTATTTGGTGCCTTGTTTTGTCTTTTTTTTTCCTTGCACGGTGGAGGAGGACATGTTATGTAACATAACTTAAAAATGGTGCAGGGTCTATTTTGCTCAAAGGGACTCTGGAGCTAAAAAGGGAATCTTGTGTGCATTTATGAATGATTTGTCACATTTCTTGTTTTTAAACAAAAACTCACCCTTCTGTACCCCACCTTTCTTAGAAGAGGCAAACCACCTTTCTCTAGGGGAAAAAATTTTTTGTAGCAGATATCCCCCCCCCCAATAGGGAACACACTTGGCTTTCACTTTACAGCCTTGAAATGCCACACAGCAGCTGGTAACCCTTATGATCATGTTTGGGATTCTCCTTTCCATTGAAACCTGCAGCATAGACTAAGGATTTGAAGGGCACGTGTTCAGCACAAAGTAAAAGAACAATGCAAATCTGTTTAAATAACTTCTCACAAGTGTTTCGTTCGGCAAGGCTACCTTAAGGAGCTTCCAAAGTAACATTAAGGGCTTGCTCCAATGACTGGATGCGAGATTTCTCTGTACTCCCTCCCTTGCCTGTTAATACCAGCCTTCACCCTCCAGATACACTGATCAGAAAAGCTTATGGTACAATTTTGTTTGGATCAACTTTTTATTAAGTTAGTGCATGCTGAAAGTGTTCACTTTTATGCTGCTAAGCCTGGAAGGATTTGCAGTGCACATTTTGTGATTTCTGTTCTGTGTGTCAGTAGAATATTTGTTTGACTATAGAGAAAGCAAAGGTGTTGACCCATAATAAATATCCACATTAGGGATTTTTATTAGGCCAATCAATATGTTACAAAATAGTGTGCATGCTTTCAGTTAAATATTCTGAATAGTCCTGCCTGGTTGCTGAGCGCAGGAGCCAAAACTGATGAGAGGGAGGAGAAAGACTCCCTTTCTATGGGATCTCCCCTTCTTCTTTTTTAAAAAAGACCTCCCTCTGGTACCACTAAAAATGACAGATAGGGTGTTAAAAAAGTTGCAGTTTGAAATGCGCCATAAGAAAACCCAGTGCAGGGAAATCTTCACAGAAGGCTATGTAGGCTATGAGAGGAAAAGAAAACATTAATGTTCCAGCTTGGATTGGCTACCACATCAGATGGTTGTGTGCAGAAACATGTAAATAGTGTTGTAAGACACCAAGTGTGGGGTTTAACTAGGGTCACTTTCATTTGCCGCATTGTAGGATCTGAATGAGTGGAAAACATGTGTGGGGATAAACTTCAATCCTCCTAACAGGGAAATAGAGCAGATATAACTGGATGAAACTTGCCAAGGAAAGAAGTAGTGAAATATATAACCTATTCCCCCAGGCCACACCTTTCAAGTGAGGAGGAAGGTCTTCCTGTCTCCTCTCTCCTTGGTGCCTTGTAGCTCTGAGTGGGTGATACAGGTTAGCCCCCCAAATGATTCATATGGTGCTCCTGGGTCTCACAGCCCTGAGTGCAAGCCTCAGGAATCACCATTCACCTGCAAAAATGTCTCAGGGTGCCTACCTGTTCCTGTACATACCTTCACAAATACAGCCAACCTATTTAACTTGGGCCCCTCACTAACGGTCAAACTTCAGAGTAGAAAAAATCCAAAAGCCATTCTTCCAGGTCAATCAAAACACGGGACAAAAAGATTTCCATTCAACTCTTTGACACCAGCCAGCAAATTCTATACCGCATATAGGGAGAGATAGATTGTTGTTGGTCAGAAGCTGTGAGGGACACCTCTAGGTGGGGCATGCTTAAAGCTGTTGCTTTCTCTTCCCACAAGCTGGCACGTTGCCCATCAGTGCTTCCTGGAAGCATCAGATGTACCCACCAAGTCCTTTCCAGATGAGATAAGCATGGTTGCATGCATACATAGATATCCTTTTCTAAAAGGGAGTGAATGAGTTTAAGATTGGGATGCAATATAAGGGAAGACAGATGGAACAGCTACAGTCTTCAACCCAGCTGAAGAAAAGGGGAAATCCCCTTCCCCCCCATTCTAAAATCCCAAGTGGTTTGGTTTGTGGATTGGGTTGGCAGTTGAGAACCCCTGACTGTGTTGACTGGGGCTGATGGGAGATGGAGTTCAACAGCATGCAAAGGTTTGTTGGCTACCCTCAGAGAATATGAACCTGTTAACATTGAAGGTGAGACTAGAGTTACTTCAGAAGAATGGAAGGTGGCAAAATTCTTACTTCAGGAGCAAGACTGTTGCTGCATTAAAGTGAACAACTCCGGGGGGGGGTATACGCCTGAGATGTTTCATGCATTTCCAGTTCTGTTGGTCTTGAGTTTAGATAGAAGGCTTGTAGTTATTCTCAGTTCTTTAAAAAAACATGAGCTGGTTAACATGCTGTGTAAGACAAAAGTTTACCCTGTACTGGCAAATGTAGAGATTACCATCTTTTGTTCAGCTTGATTGCTTTTTAATTAACATTGATGATCATGCCATCTGATGTTTCCAGAACTGGCTGAAAATGTTGGTACAACAACTTTCGATGCCTAGAAGTTACTTCTTTGTTGCACACCAATGGCTGATAGCTTCTGAACTAGGAGATTCCCCGTCATGGTTGGCTGTGGGCTGGAGGGTTGTGGTCTATTCAGTGAAAATTTTGCAGTTGCCTAAAAGAAGGAGCCTTGAATGGGGGCTCCTCCAGGTTGAATCTGTTTGTTTCTTAGAGAGCTGAGGCTTGTCCATAGGGAAGTTGCCTGATATTGAGCTAGAACATTGGTCTATTGTTTACACCAGGAATTGGGAACATCAGGCACAGGGCTGAATGTGGTGCTCCAAGCTTCTCTGTCTTGTAGGACAGGCCATTCATTCACTCCACCAACCTTACCCCATACCCTGCTTCCCTGCTTTTGCTTGGCTGAACTATCATAGTCCTTGTATTGTGATGTTGCCTCTTGCTTACTGAATGGAGAGGTGTGTGTGAACACATGTGTAGAAACATCTGACTTTTGCATGGCTGGAATGTAGCCTCCTATGCATATCTGTTGCTCTACTCACTTTTGCTGCTGGTCCCACCCTCAGGAGGCTCTCTTTGAGG